TGGAATGGGACCCACCTCATGGTCCAATTTTCAACCACGCAGTGAATAGGTATATAGGAGGGACAACAATACTAGTAAGGTATGCTCACCAAGGAATGGTCAATCATTCAAGATCAAAAGGGCAACACTACCTAAGGACAAAATTAATAAGGAAGGAGGGTGGAATGGAAATAAGAATCACAGGGAGGAAGTGGCAAAACTGCTGTTACATAGAAGGCATTCAATCATTGAGCTGAAACAAAGTGTATAATTAATTGAATGTAAAAATCTACTCTGTAAACCTTCACTTTATTCACAATTGTTGTTGTTGTTTCTAAGTGCTGTCGAGTCAGTTTGGATCATAGCCACCCTGTATAGGGTTTCCAAGGACTGGATGATGGGTTTGAACCGCCAATCTGACAGTTCAAACCGATCTTGTAGTCCAGTGCATTAACCCACAGCACCACACCAGGATAAATAAAAAGTAAAAAAAAAAAAACCCAAAAAACAAAAACACACACACACACACACACACACACACACACATATATATATATATACACATACATACATATATACATACACTATAAGTAGCTCTGGTAGCATAGTGGTTACGAATCGGGCTGCGAACCGCAAGGTCAACAGTTCGAAACTACCAGCTGCTCCGTGGGAAAAAGATGAGGCTTTCTGCTCCCATAAAGATTTACAGCCTCAGAAACCCTGCACAGGGTCGCTATGGGTTGGAACCGACTCGAGGGCACTTAACAACAACAATATATATGTACTAGAATGGGCTACACTAAATATAATAAAGAAAAAGTGAATCAACCTAAATATGTTCATTATTAGGAGACTAATTATATAAAAAAATCTGTATAGATATTCACACATAGGTTCATTTATGTTGCTTTGTAACCGTTTGCATTCAAAATATGTTGAATGAAATAAGAGTACACTAACATTTTTTTCTCTGCCAGACTGGTAAAAATAAAACAATCACATATCTAAATACTAGTGAGGACCCAGGTAAAGGGTAATTTGGTGCTTTGTACACTATTAGAGAAATCCACCAACCAAGCTGTTTTAGAGGGCTATTTGGCAGCAAAACTTTGGAGTCCGGGTGTGACACTGTAGGTAAGCACTGGGTTGCAAACCAAAATGTAGGCAGTTCAAACCCAACAGCTGTTCCTTGGAAACTATACAGGGTCACTATGAGACAGAACCAACTCAATGGCTCTTAACAACAACAAACCAAATTTTAAATGCACAATTCTGACATGGCCAATTATATAAATATTTATACATGTGCATGAAGGTTTAGGTAAAAGATGTGAACTATAGCATTATCTATAAAACGGAAAATTGGGGATCAACAGAAGAGTACTTAAATAAATAATACATGAATACAATGAATACAGCTAGTATTTGCTTTACACTGTAATACAAGACAGCAAAAATTACCATGCAACTTCAAACCATGCAGAACAATCTTAATAATCAATGGATTGGAACTGAACTCACCCTCATGGCCCAATTTTCAGCCAAGCAGTAGATAGGTGTATGGGGGAGGGGGAGGCGACAACACTAGCAAGGTTTGCGCATCATGGACTGGTCAATCATTCAAAATCAAAAGGGTGACATTAATCTAAGGACAAAACTGAGAAGTGATGGGAAGAAGGGTGGAATGGAAATAAGAATCACAGGGAGGAAGTGGAAAGACCGATATTACATGGAGGGGATTGCACTCATTGAGATGAAACAAAGTGTATGATCAGTTGAATGTAAAACATGATCTGCTCTGCAAACCTTCACTTAATTCACAATAAAAAGTTTTTTTAAAAATGGAAAAAACTAATGAAATTTCTGTGGCCTTTAAAATTGTGGTCAAAATATTGAAAATTTTTGTGCTGTCAGTTCTGAATATATGTTGTTGCTGTCATTAGGCACAGTTGTGTTAGTTTCAACTCATAGTGACCCTATGTATAACAGAACGTTAAGTACCAATGTCCAGTTCTGCGCCATTCTCACAATCGTTGAGATGTCTGAACCCATTGTTGCAGTCATGGTATGGTGTTAATTCATCTCATTGAGCATCTCCCTCTTTTTCACAGACCCTCTATTTTACCAAGTCTTTCTCCAGGGACTGGTCCCTCCTGATATCATATGTGAGACAGTCTCATCATCCTCCCTTCTAAGGAACATTCAAACTTACTTCTTTCAAGACAGACTTGTTCATTCTTCTGACAATCCACAATACATTCAATATTCTTGGTCAACATTATAATTCAAATGCATCACTTCTTCAGTCTTATTCATTGTGCAGCTCTCACTTATTATGAGGTGACTGAAAATACCAAGTGCACCTTAGTCCTCAAAGTAACAACTGTGCTTTTTAACATTTTAAAGAGGTATTTTATAGCAGATTTGCCCCATATAATGTGTCATTTGATTTCTTGATTGCTGCTTCCATGGGTATTGATTGTGGATCAAAGTAAAGTGAACTCCTTGACAACTTCAATTTCTCTCCAGCTATCATGATGTTGCTTATTGCAGTTGCGAGGATTTTTTGTAGGGTTGAAAATGTAAAGGTATCTGATTTGTAGCAAAAGGAGGGGAGTGACTGACTTTGCAGTCTAGGAGCTGAGGTCCGTGGGACCATCAAGCGAGAAGAGCGGAGAACAGGACCCTACCCAGAGAAACAGTGATTCCAGAGATAGAGGCAGAGACGATGATGTAGAGAGATGGAGCGGCTGAGGACTTTAGACCCAGAGAGGGAGAGGGGCTATGTGATGATGGGGGGGCAGGCTTGCAGGGTATACCCTTTGGTTGGTGGATAATGCATGGTGGGGACTGTAACCATGGCAATAAAACGATATACAACAGGATGAATGTAAAGCTAATGTTCTTGTTACAACGTTACAATACCTTCCGGTTCTTCCCTCTCCTCTCCCTCCAACTCCATTTTGTCTGTTTCCCCCCTCTAAGCTACAAGGCACGTAGTTTAAAGGACAACATGGCTTTTGATAGGCCAGAGCTAAATCACCCAGCAATGACCACTCCCTTCCTGTTGAACCTATATAAGTCCCCTCCCTTCCTGCTGACTCTCCTCTTCTCCTCTTCCTCTTATTTCTGCCCTCTTCTCTCTCTGCTCTTCTGCTTCTTCCTCTCCTCCCGTCTGCCTCCTGCCTTCTCTCTCCGGCAGAGGTTACCTTCCTCACCCTGAATAAAGGTCTCTAGATGGGCCATCTGGTGTGAGGTGTGGTTGATGAGCAGCTCTGGGTTGTTATTTACCTTTCAGTTCTCCCATGTAAACTATCACATTATTCACAAAACATTACAAAAAAAAGTGATTTGAACTATGCTTGCCTTTCATCATACAACTTACAAATAGAGTGATAGTTTTTCTTTCTGCCTTGGTGAATTGTCATATTCCTTCCTAAGGTTAGACCTGCTTCAAATATTTTTCCCTTTCTGCTTTCAGTATCATGAACTATGTCAGAGAAGTTCTTTAATGTAAAGGGGTTTTGCCAGTATCCCTTTCACTGGGCCATCTTCATCCTTTTCGTCAAAACCATTGTCGTCATTATGTGGATAAGCTGATATTCACTAAGTGCCTCTGTCTGCATAGCTATATACTTTTTCTAATGACACCCAGGATCAGCAATGTTTTCTATAACCCCGTTTATGCTAGATTGGAATTTCACTCCCAGTGGTAGCATTTTTTTGTTTCTTTATTTTACTTTTATCCTTTCTCTCCCCTCAATGGCTATTTTTGGAAGATTTTCTTCCAAGGCACCTACCTTTTCTGGTTGGCCAAGTTCAGTAACAATTCATACCACCTAGGGACTCCTGCACTTTCATTTTGCTGGCCAATTCCATCTTTTGATTAGACATTTTTACAAAATGTCACATGGGAGACAAGTAGGAAACACAACTACTTTACTGTCTGTATATGAACAGAATCAATCAATGATTCAGGATCAACCCCAACTGACTCTGAACAAAGGGACATGACTGGTCACTGATCACAATGTGGATCTGTGATTTACACAGTGACCTGTGGACTTAAGAGCGAGCAACAAAATTTGGACTTGATGCAATTACTCACTTCAGCAATCCATCATTTCAAATAAAGAATCAGAAAGGAGGAGTTGTTGTTGTTAAGTGCCGTCCAGTCGATCCCAACCCATAGCAACCCTGCATAGGGTTTCCAAGAAGCAGCTGATGAGCTTGAACTACTGACCTTACAGTTTAAACGACTTTGCAGTCTGACGCATTAGCCCAAAACGCCACACCAGAACTCCAGAAAGGAGGAGTAGACCTGGCAATTTCTGAGGAAAAGCCAGTGGAGAAGTATCCTAGCATCTTTTATAGGAAGGAGTCTCAGGTTTAAGGCTTTGCCCAGTAACTGCAGTTCCAGAGAGAGAGGGTTGTCAACTCAAGCAGTCCAATGGAGATTCAAGGAGATACAGTCTGCCATAATCTGTCTTTTGTTGGAAGCACCTGCTAAAGTCATGTTTCCCCTTTCATTGTTGAAAACTGTCCCTGAGAAGCAGCTCTCTAGCTACGGACTTCAAATCCTAGTTCCCTTGCATTTGGGTGAGACCAAATGACTGTTTACTAACAAAATGTGAGTGCCAAGAACAAGTATCACTTTGGAGTCAAGAATTTAAGAAGATGTGTTTTCTCCACCCGGTATTTCCAGCTGCTTGTTGGATGCAGAGCACCCTGAGGCACTTACGGGGTGGCAGAATCAGAAGATAAAAAAGTGTCTAGGTCCCTGACTTATCACATGGAAAACAGCCACCTGCTGTTGAAATATACTTATACTGGACTGTTATGCAATTGAGAAACAAACTAGTGATAAGCCATTTAAACTCTGGAGTTTGTTACAGTAACTAGAATTATCCTAATACTGTATGGGGGCAAGGGCAGTGCAGAAAAGTGAGCCTACTAATTTTAATATAAAAATTGACACACAAAAAGAAAGATTGACAAGTATATGCTAATGAATTACATACCTCATACTCTGGTCCAAAGCCAGCATATCCACAGAACCGTCCAGAGAGTCTCCAAAGATAAGGGATTCCACCAAAGAGAAGAATAAGCTATAAAATAAGATACACTTCGGTCACATGTGGCTAGAAGATGAAACCAACATGTAAAGAGTATATTAGGAAAAAAAATGACAAAATACCTCTAGAGAAAAATAAGACATCTCATTTTAGATAAATTATGCATTTAGAAGGATGAATACAAACCAATTAAGATACTAAATTTAGAGTTTTTTAAAAAGTTTTTTTCTTGTATACTTTACATGGTACAAAAATAATACAAATCTCAATAAAACTGTTTATAAAAAATGCTTTTGCCTTTCAAGAGGGAACCTAGATCCAAAGGGCGTGGAGGAAGGTAGAGTCTCTAGTGAGTAGTATCCAACCTGTCTAGGAAGGGCTGATGAAATGCAGACGGGTCTCTTGTGACGCAATAGTGAATAATTGTTATCAGGACAGATTGTGAGGGTTGGAAATATAAAGGTGGACATTTTATAGCAAGGAGAAGAGTGATTAACTTTTCAGTCTAGGAGCAGAGGGTCCTGGGACCATCAATGGAGAAGAGCGGAGAGTGGGACCCTACCCAGAGAAGCAGTGAGGCATGAGATGGAGGCAGAGAAGATGACGTGAAGAGATGGAGCAGCTGGGGAGTTGAGATCCAGAGAGGGAAAGGGGCTGTGTGCTGAGGACCGGGGGTAGGGGTGGTGTAGGGCAGGCTTGCAGGTTATATACCTTTTGGTTGGGTGATGATGCATGGGCGGATGGTAACTATGGCAATGAAACAATGTATGATAGAATGACTGTAAAACTAATGTTCTCCCATGAAACTATCACACAATTCACAATAAAACATTTATTTTTAAAAAAAAATGCTTTTGCCAAAAGATCACAATACTTTCTGAATCAGAGAACTGAACTTACTTACAAAGGTTAAGTAACTTGTCCAAAATCCTACAGTTAACAAGTGACAGAAATAGGACCAAACCAGGCTATCTGGCTCCATAACTGTCCCCTTGCCAAAATGTGAAGAGATGGGTAAACGTGCCTTCTCTGAGTCAGGATGTGATTCCTGAGACAGGACTCATGGTTTTATAGGATTAGGCCCCAATTCTCAGTACCAGACTTTGTATTGGCAGCCAGACATTTGCAAAAGTATCAGGGCATCAGAATGAGGGGGCAGCTTAAAAAAAAAATTTTAATTGCTTGCTTAATAAGCATTACTTTCCACAATAGATACTAAGCTTGTAGAGCTCATTTCATCAAGGGAAATCAATTTATTTTGTCTTTATATGGGATCTCAGGAGCATGATGACCAATCACACTCCTTGGTCTTGTTTTTGTTGTTGTTGGGTGCCATCGAGTCGGTACTGACTCGTAGTGACCCTATGCACAACAGAATGAAACACTGCCAGTCCTGGGCCAACCTCACAATTGTTGCCATACTTAAGTCCACTGATGCTGCCACTTTGCCAGTCCATCTCGCTGGGGGTCATCCTCTTTTTCTCCGACCCTCCACCTTACCAAACATGATACCCTTCTCCAGCGACTGGTCCCTCCTAACAATATGTCCGAAGTATGAGAGACGAAGTTTGGCCATCCTGGCCTTTAAAGAGCACTCTGGCTTCACTTCTTCCAACACAGATCTCTTTGTTCTTTTGGAAGCCCATGGCACTTTCAATATTCTCCTCCAATACCACAATTCAAATGCATCAATTCTTTTACGATCTTCCTTATTCACTGTCCAGCTTTCACATGCATATGAGGTTACTGAAAATACCATGGCTTGGGTCAGGTGCACCTTAGTCCTCAAGCTGATGTCTTTGCTCTTCAACACTTTAAAAAGGTTTTGTGTAGCAGATTTGCCTAATGCAATACATAGTTTGATTTCCTGACTGCTGCTTCCATGAGTGTTGATAGTTGATCCAAGAAGAATGAAGCCCTTGACAACTTCAATCTTTTCTCTGTTGATAAGAATGTTTTTTCATTGGTCCGGTGGTGAGGATTTTTGTTTTCTTTGTATTGAGATGCAATCCATACCAAAGGCTGTGGTCTTTGATCTTCATCAGTAAGTATTTTAAGTCCTATTCACTCTCAGCAAGCAAGGTTGTATCATCTGCATATCGCAGGGTGTTAATGAGTCTTCCTCCAATCCTGATGCCACGTTTTTCTTCATAGAACCCAGCTTCTCAGATTATTTGCTCAGCATACAGGTTGAATAAGTATGGTGAAAGAATACAACCCTGTCACAAACCTTTCTTAATTTTAAACATTCAGTGTTCCCATGTTCTGCTCGAACAACTGCCTCTTGGTCCAGGTACAGATTCCTCATGAGCACAATTAAGTGTTCAGAAATATTCATACTTCGCAATGTTGTCCATAGCTTGTCATGATCCACATAACTGAAAGCCTTTGCATAGTCAATAAAGCACAAGTAAATATCTTTCTGGTATTCTCTGCTTTCAGCCAAGATCCATCGGACATCAGCAATGATATCCCTCGGTCCACATCCTCTTCTGAAGCTGGCATGAACTTCTGGAAGTTCTCTGTCAATGTATACTTGCAGCCTTTTCTGTATTACCTTTAGTAAAACTGCTCGCATGGGATATTAAAGATATTATCCGATGATTTCTGCATTCCATTGGGTCACCTCTCTTTAGAATGGGCAAAAATACAGATTTCTTCCAATCAGTCGGCTAGATAGTTGTCTTCCAAATTTCTTGGCATAAATGAGTGAGTGCCTCCAGTCACTTTCTTGAAAGGTATCAATTTTTATTCCATTAGTTACTAGTGCCTTGTTCTTTGCCAATTCCTTCAATACACCTTGGACTTCTTCCTTCAGTATCATTGGCTCTTGATCATATGCTACCTCTTGAAACAACTGGACATCAGCCATTTCCTTTTGGTACAGTGACTGTGTATTCCTTCCATCTTCTTTTGATGCTTTCTGCATCATTCAATAATTTTCCCAGAGAATCCTTCAATAACGAAAGTCAAAGCTTGATTTTTTTCTTCAGTTCCCCCAGCTTGAGAAATGCTGACAGTGTTCTTCCCTTTTGGTTTTCTGATTCCAGATCTTCGCACATTTCGTTGTAATATTTGACTTTGTCTTCTCGAGCTGACTTCTGAAATTTTCTGTTCAGCTCTTGTACCTCCTCATTTCTCCCATTTGCTTTAGCATCTCTACGCTGGAGAGTAAGTTTCAGTGCCTCTTCTGACATTCATTTTGATCTTTTCCTTCTTTCTTGTCTTCTTAATGACTTTTTGCTTTCTTCCTGTATGATGCTCTTGATGTCATCCCACAACTCTGCTGGTCTTCTCCTTGGTCTAGAAGCACAGTATTTCTATTGGTACACACATAAACCCTTCTGGTTGTGAGGGGATTGGACACTAGCATACATATCCTCCTTCTAATCCACTCTCCATTTTTACTTACATATCTATAAAGGTTGTTGTTGTTGTTAAATGCTGTCGAGTCGGTTCTGACCCATAGCGACCCTGAACAGGGTTTCCGAGGCTGTAAATCTTTACAGGAGCAGAAAGCCTCATCTTTCTCCTGCGGAACAGCTGGTAGTTTCAAACTGCTGACCTTGTGGTTCGCAGCCTGATTCGTAACCACTACGCTACCAAAGTTCCTTAAATAATACAGTGATTTATGTGGTTTAAAAGTGAATATAAATGGCATCATACTGTAATTCTCATTCTACAACTTGCTTTTTATACCCTACATGTTTAAGATCCAGCTATGGTGATGAAACAGACCTATTTCACTTTTTTACTTTCATTTCTTGAATTAGTTCTTAGTTGATACATCAGTGCAATATCAGGGAAATCTGTCTTAGAGGCTGGACATTCTCTTTTTGGGAGCTCAGCCACATTTGTGTGAAATATGGTGCCTGTCATTGGTCCAACAAGGCCATTGTTCAAGTTCTTTTAAGTAGAAAGTACTGCGGAAAAAAAAAAAAAAAAATTCTACAGGAATCTTCCCATCTGCTCTTTGTGACAAAAATATATAAACCTAGTAAATGTAATCAGTATAAAATAGGAATTAATGAGTTTGCTTTCAAACAGAATAGTGTTTCAGAGTAGCATCAAATTTGTTCTTATCAAATGGTATCTTTAGTTAGTAATTTCCCAAGGATAAATTTAGCTGATTCATGTTGCTGTCCTTAGCATTTCTGAGATGGTTTCTCAATAGCATTTTATAGACTCACAAAACTAGAATTTGAGGCCCAGGACTGATTTATTAGAGTTTCACTTGGCCATTAAGCATGCCAACCATTATATTTCTCTTTGCTTCCAAAGTCATAAAAGGGCCCAATAATGCCTGTCTTTTCTACCTCAAAGGGCTATTATAAACATCAAAGAAAATAATAAACACAAAAAACATGTATGAAGTAAAAAAAAATCACCATCCACACAATTATTATGATGAACTCTTATTAGGAAAAAGTTCCTAACTTTAGCCCATCAGTACTGCTTGGAGTATGAGACACAACAAATTACAAAGTTCTCATTTTACAGATGTATTCTCCTACCTCCATCATCTCTAAGAACACATGCCACCATTTCCACAGTCACTAACCATAACACTCCAGCCACTGCTTAAACACTCCTAAAACAGTTCAGCAGTGACAACCAGAGAAACTGAAAATATTTTTCCAGTCATATATATTTTTCCAGTCATTTTATCATGGTCCTTTCGAGGGAAGACAAAGAACTGCAAAGAGACAAACATCAAAGAGGGAAGAAAATTGTGCCTAAATTTACTACCTCTACTCTCATGCATCATCAAGATTGATTTTCTACCTCCATGCTACCCTGAACAGAAGAACTACTCCAGAGATAGTAACCAAAGCTGAGCATAATTCACAATAAATACTAGCCTTGCTTGGTTTAGTAAAAACATAAACAAAAAATCAGTATCAAAAAGACAATTTACTAGCCTATAGCTATGTACCCTTATTTTAATGCAATTTTATTCCATACTTGTTAAGAAAGTCTGTAAACAGCTAGACAATACTGTCATCACTTATCAAAGCTACACACATCCCGTTTCTTCTCTTTAATTCATAAAACAATTATGTTGTTGTTGTTATGTGCAGTGGAGTCGCTTCCGACTCATAGCGACCCTGTACAGGGTTTCTGAGGCTATAAATCTTTACGGGAGCAGAAAGCCTCATCTTTCTCCCACGTAACAGCTGGTAGTTTCGAACTGCTGACCTTGCAATTGTACTTCGTTGTTGTTGAGTGCCATCAAATTGGTTCCAACCCATAGCGACCTTGTATAGGGTTTCCAAGGAGCAGCTGGTAAGATTGAACCATCAAACTTGCAGTTCAAATGGCTTTGCAGTCTGGCACATGAACCCACAGTGCTAAACCAGGGCTCCAAAACAGTTATACTAAGACCTCTCTCCAGCTCGAGGGTATGAGAGTTTACAAATCAGTCTATGTTGCTGTTAAGTGCTATAGAGTCAGTTCTGACTCTACACGACCCTTTATAGGGTTTCTGAGGATCAGCTGGTGGGTTTGAACTGCCAACCTTGTGGTCAGCAGTCCAGTGCTTATCCTACAGAGGAACTAAAAGTGTTCTGAAGAATCAATAATGATGTTCATGATGATAAACATAATCTAGCACTTAAGGTACACTTATAATAAGTCAGGCATCATTTAAAAATATTTGTACATATATTAACTCATTTAATCTTCTCAACACTATGAATCACTATTAGTATCTTACCATTTTTATGGATCAGAAAACTGAGACACAAAAATGTTGAGTGATTTGATTTAGTCATACAGATAGTGTGGTAATACTGAGACTGAAACTCAAACCAGCTGAGTTCACAGTCCGCCATTAACCTCTAGCCCATTCACTCTCAATGTAGGTAACAGTGCCCCCAAGGGGTGAGATTTGGCTGTTTGTTTTTATTGTTATGTGCCATCGAGTCGGTTCCGACCCATAGCGACCCTGTATAGGGTTTCCGAGGGTGTAACTCTTCACGGGAGTAGAAAGCCTCATCTTTCTCCCGCAGTGCAGCTGGTAGTTTCGAACCGCTGACCTTAAGGTTCGCAGCCTGATTCGTAACCACTACGCTACCAGAGCTCCTTTTTAGAGGGGGCAAAAAAAAAACCCTTACTTTTTCCCCCATCATACATAAATACATAAAGGGTTGTTGTTGTTGTTGTTATGTGCTGTGGAGTCAGTTCCGACTCATAGCGACCCTGTACAGTTTCCGAGACTATAAATCTTTATGGGAGCAGAAAGCCTGCCTCATCTTTGTCCTATGGAACAGCTGGTAGTTTCAAACTGCTGACGCTGAGGTTAGCACCCTGATTCGTAACCACTACGCTACCAGAGCTCCTTAGATCAAGGGTATGTATGTGGTATTCAGGAGTCCTGGTGTGGTGCTGTGGGTTGATATGTCAGGCTGCAAAGTTGTTTGAACTGCAAGGTCTGGTTCAAGCTCACCAGCTGCTTCCTGGAAACCCTACACAGGGTCGCTATGAGTTGGGATCGACTCAATGGCACTTAACAACAATAACATGTGGTATTCAAATTTAATCCATAAATAGATATAGGGTATATATGTGGCATTCATATCCTGTATTTATGTAAAAGACGTCATACATAAATAAATATAGGGTATGTATGTGGCATTCAAATTTCAACAAGGGAGAGATAAGGAAAAACATGTCTAAAAAGCATCTTGGGGGAGAAAGAGAGTGATAAAAGGCTGAGAAACACTGCTCTACACTGTATGAGTTCTCGTCTAGAATGGGGTAAGGCTGACCCTCTATTTTACAAAGAAAAAGTGACCTGTCATAGTTTGTTTCATTCAATAAAAATGAATTATGGGCTTCTTTTATGCCAGGCACTATGTATAAAATGATGACCAAGACCTTAAAGTACCATTTCCTAAAGGAGTTACCAGTCTGTCAGCTAATATACATGTTCAGAAATTGATAGGAATGAGCGGATGCTATCTAAACCAAACTTGAAGGAGAGGAAGAGTTTCAAAAGTGTCCCATAAGCAAGTTGGACATTGGCTACCCAAAATGGGGGGGGGGGGGGGAGCTACAAAGGCAAGAAGTGGCTGGCTTACAAGCTTTCAAGAGGGAACCTAGATATAGAGGGCATGGAGGAAGGTAGAATCTCCACTGAGTAGTATCCAATCTGTCTAGGTGGGACTTATGAAAGGAAATGCGATGGGTCTCTTGTGATACAACGGTGAATAATTGTTATCAGGACTGCTTGTGAAGGTTGGAAATGCAAAGGCAGACATTTTGTAGCAAGGAGGGGAGTGGTTAACTTTGCAGTCTAGCAGAGGAGGTCCCTAGGACCATCAAGGGAGAAGAGCGGAGAGCAGGGTCCTTCCCATAGAAGCGGTGATGCCTGAGATGGAGGCAGAGACGATGATGTGAGACATGGAGTGTCTGGGGACTTTAGACACAGAGAGGGAGAGGGGCTGTGTGCTGACGACTGGGGGGCAGGCTTGTAGGGTATACCCTTTGGTTGGCTGATGATGCATGGAGGGGACTGTAACCATGGCAATGAAACGATATATGATAGGATGAATGTAAAGCTAATGTTCTCCCATGTAAACTATCACATAATTCACAATAAAACATTAAAAAAAAAAAAAAAAGTGTCTCAGAAGAAATGATCTCTTAGTAGCACCCTAATGGAAGAGCAGGAGTTAACCAGGTTTCATGAGAAGGTGGAGGAGTCCTGGTGTGGCCCTGCAGGATAAACACTGGACCATAAGGTAGGTCTGAACTGCAAAGTTGGTGACTCAAACTCACCAGCTGCTCCCTGGGAACCCTATACAGTTGAGTTGGACCCAATTCAATGGCACTTAACAACAACAAGAGAGGGTGGAGATGAAGAGGGATGGGAAAGAATAATTAAGAGGAAGGAATCTTTGGGCACCAAGAGCCCCAAAAGATGAGGCATAGGTAAACAGTTATCAGTTTGCAAAGGTCCTCATAAGCCATGTCAAAAAGTTTGGGCTTTTCTCCCCTGAGGGAAACAGGAAGTCAATGAAAGATTTTAGGTTGGAGAATAATATGCTGAAAAGTGTGTTTACAATGTGAAAGATGGGTTAGAGATTACAAGAATAGCATATACACAAGTTTCTTTTTCACCCCTGGCCCTCAAGGTTATGGTATTCTACAATTTTTAAATGACTAAACAGTTAAGTTTCTATCTCTTTTAATCCAAACCCATTCTTATCAATCACAAAAGTTTAAAAAGTATTATGGGATCAACAGGTGTGATAGTCACCTTTGTATCACAAAAATAGGAAAACAAACATTACAAAGTATTAAACAATTGGACAGATTGTCACTTCAAGAAGTAATTACTCACGGTGCCTTCAATCTCTGAGTAGAGTCCTGACCAGAAGCTGAAAGTACTTTTGTCCAGCTGATATAGTCGCGATTTCTCGAATGTTTCTGAATCCATGATCTGTCCTAACTCCAGTGGCACATGAGTTGTTGTTTTATAGATCCTTCTCTGAAACATTATGAAGAAAGCACTTTGTCAAATGAACTGATTGTTTATGACAGTAACCAATTATGATCAAACATTGTTTTAGAGCATTTACTTGTCATTGGAGCTTGTGGAATGTTCCATACAGCTACAATTACTGTGTTTGATCAGGTAAACTGACCACTGCAACAACAGATACAAACAAGTATAAGCTAAAAAAGAGAATCTGAGAGCTAACTAAGCAAAAATAAAATCAGGGTTGTCAACGGAACCTGTTTTCATTCCTTAAATTTTTTCCTTTTTTTAAATCAGGCTTGCCTTTACACTAGGTTGCACATATAAAATAAAACTGGAGCCATCCCATAGGGTACTGTTCATTCCAAGTATTTATATTGCTGTTGTTGTTAAGTGCCGTCTAGTCGGTTCTGACTCATAGTGACCCTGTGTAGGGTTTCTGAGGAGCCAATAGTGAGCTTGAACCACCTACCTTGAGGTTCAAACCAAACTTGTAGTCCAACGCATTAACCCGCTGCACCACACCAGGGCTCCAGGTATCATATGGTGGTGGTGATAGGCCCTGGAGTAGGTTCTGACTCAGAGTGACCTTGTATAGGGTTTCCAAGGCTATAAATATTTGTTGTTGTCGTTAAGTGCCATCGAGTCGGT